ACTTGATATGTATTGGTGGCACAGAGCATTGCAGTGTTTCAGATTCTGGCACCCTGATTAAATTTAGCTTCTCTTTCTGCAAAACTGTTTAACTGTATTTATATAGTTAAAGACAAAAAAGAAAAGTAGAAATAAATATATATATATATAGACTCCACACGTAGCATTAGACCCTGACCGCTTCAACCCTGGCAGAACGACCACACCAAAAATCTTAAACGATGTAGTAGTGCGCTGGAGCGATTATGGTACAAAACCAGATCCCAGCAAGCATTCACCCTATACAAATCTGCCTTCCTCACCTACACCTCCTCCCTCCACGCTGCCAAACAAGCCTACTTCGTAACCCTCATCAATACCCTCTCCTCCAGTCCTTGCCGGCTCTTCTCCACTTTTAACTCCCTACTCTCCCCCCCCCACCTCCACCCAGTACCTCACTCACCACCCACGAGATTGCTAACCACTTCCAAAACAAGATCGCCGCAATTCGTAGGGACATCGCCAATGCTCAGACTTCCACCCCACCTAGCCTCCCTCCCATGATAACCCCCTCAACACTCCCCTCCTCTGACCTCGCAACTGCCCAGACCCCCACCCCACCTAACACCCCACACACTAAAACCCCCCCAACAATCCACTCCTTTGACCTTGCTACCACTGAAGAGGTCACTAAGGTCTTCTCCGAAGCCCACCTCACCACCTGCCCCCATGACCCTGTCCCCACACAACTCCTACGGTCACCCTCCTCCTCCATCCTACGTTCCCTCACCCACATCTTCAATCTCTCCCTCTCTACTGGCACATTCCTCTCCCCCCTAAAGCACGCGAACATCACTCCCATACTCAAAAAACCCTCCCTGGACCCCACCGACCTGAACAACGTTAGACCCATCTACCTGCTGCCATTTATATCCAAACTCCTCAAGCGCTTAGTCTATAATCGCCTAAGCTCCCACCTCAACGACACAACCTCCTTGATCCCCTACAATTTGGCTTCCTTCCTCTACACTCCACCAAAACTGCCCTACTCAAACTCACCAACGACCTGCTAACTACCAAAGCTAATGGCCACTACTCAGTCCTCCTACTCCTCGACCTCTCTGCGGCCTTCGACACAGTTGACCACCCCCTCCTCCTTAAAAAACAATACTCCCTTGGCATCAGAGACTCCGCTCTCTCCTGGCTCTCCTCCTATCTATCCTAGCACTCCTTCAGTGTTACCTATAACGCTGCCACCTCCCCCTCTCTGTTGGGGTCCTCCAAGGCCCTGTCCTCGGGCCCCTTCTCTTCTCCATCTACACCTCCTCCCTTGGCCAACAGATACACTCCCACGGCTTCAACTACCACCTCTATGCCGATGACACGCAAATCTACCTCTCTACCCCTCGCCTCACCCCTTCAGTCTCCACCCGAATCACCTGCCTACTGAACGACATATCAGGCTGGATGTCACTCCACTTCCTCAAATTAAACCTTTCCAAAACCGAGCTCCTAGTTTTCCCCCAGCCTGCGCCCCCCCCCCCCCCCCATCCTCTCCATCACGGCCAACAACGCCACCATCAGCCCCACCCCGCAAGCCAAAGTTCTTGGCGTCACTCTAGACTTCAATCTGTCCTTTCAGCCCCATGTCCAATCGCTGGCAAATTCATGCAGACTCCAGCTCCGCAACATCTCCAAAATACGTTTGTTCCTAACCCCAGACACTACTAAACAACTCATTCACTCCCTTAATATCTCATGACTCGAATACTGTAACTCCCTCCTCACCGACTTACCTCATCACAGACTATCCCCGCTTCAGTCTATCCTAAACTCAGCGGCCAGACTCATCCACCTTACCAACCACTCCGTATCCGCCACCCCCCTCTGTCATTCCCTCCACTGGCTTCCGATTGCCCAATGCATAATATTCAAACTACTAACATTGACGTACAAAGCTACTTATAATACTGCCCCAAACTACCTCACCAACCTAATATCCAAATACCACCCAACACGTACTCTTCGCTCCTCACAAGACCTCCGCTATATAAATACTGTATAATATATATATATACTGTATATTTATCCATACAGTTGTGAGCAGGCATGAGTGAGCAGGCAAAACACTTCCCATGGACAGTGGTGTCCCTAGGCAGGTGCAGGGAGTGCGCACCGCACCGGGTGACCTATCGCACATGGTGACACCGGACCCGTTCCACGAAAAGGTACTTTTTAAAGCAAGCCAATGATCCCCGCAGGATGGATTGGATCTGCAGATTGAGCTTAATGGATCGGATCATGCTCCCCAAGCTGCAGCTCCGATCCATCTTGCGGGTATCGTCGGCTTGCTTTAAAACTTACCTTTTCCTGGAGCTTGTGGAGAGATCAGTTAACCCTGAATAGGTTGCAAGTCGATGATCCCCGCAGGATGAATCAGATCTGAAGATTGGGGATAATAATGGATAGGACTCCAGTACGGCTATTGCACATAATCATAGGGGGTGTGTTGGAGATGCTGGCTAGTTCTCCAGCAGAGACTGTGTTGCAGAAGAGAAGCGTGTGAATTGTTCCAGGAAGTTTGTCCTCAGTTATTGGTTTCTTTGGGCATCCTATATACCCCCCTTACCCCATCCCAGTTCTCAATCCCCTCAACAAACAACAGGACAAAAGCTTAAGGATTGGTTTCTGACTTTGAATGCAAGCTTGTGTGGAGAATGCAGATTGCCTGGCTGAGCAGGGCTACAGGGGGACCCAATTCATCAGCAACTCCCAAGGGGGTAGTGCTAGATGTGTGGGCTCCTCCAAGATTCACCTATAGTAACCTGCCTGCCGTTACCCCTAGCAAGGAATGAGCCAGATAAAAAAGTGCCACAGAACTTAGCCAACCATGTCGGACTTACCTAAGAGTCTTTATGCTGCTCTCTAGATGGCTCCTAACAAAGACTGTGTCTTGTATGTGCTTCCAAACACATGTGAAATGTTCACCATGTTTGCTGTCCTGCTTCCATTGCCTGGAGCCACCGGGACGGCTCATCAGTTCACAGATGTCCCTCTCCTTCTCTACAGATGGCTACCAACAGAGACTATGTGACTGCATGGGACAATAAAATGTCTACCATATTTGTCTTTGCCATTGCCCAGAGCAACCGGAACGGTTCATATCAGTCTGCGGGCTTCTCAATAGGTGGTGATAAGAAATACCTTTTCCCTAACGATAATCTTATATCTGCTGTGGCCAATGGATTACAAATGCTTTACTGCCTTGTGTCAATTGAACTTTAATTGTGACCTTGCACTCAGCGGGAGGGTGTGCTTCGTGTCCCAATGTCGCCCGTGGCAACCGTTACGAAGAAGCATCGTTCCCAACACTCATATTGTTAGTGCTACCCAGCTACTCAATGATGGCTGGAAACTAATATCCAGTGCCAGCCAGCAAACTGACTATGCCCTGCCAGTGGGATACAGCCATCACTGTATCTGCAGCCCAGTACACACATTGTGAGTTGGAGTATCGGGGGTTAATCCTATGGTGGGAGAGTTTCTGTAGGGCAATCTGGTTGGCACCAAAAGGTCAGGAGAAGAGGTATGGACATGCCCATATGCATGCCCACATGTATGCCTTCAAGACTGCCTCCTACACTAAACCCATGGGGAGAGCGAGAGAAAGAGGGGAAAGATGGAGGTAGTATTGCCAGTATACTGCAAAGTTTACCAGCCTGAACTTGCCCAGGTGGACACAGAAGTCCACCTCGAGCATCACAACTGCTTTGCTCTAGGGATGCTCGAGGGTACTGAGAAGCTGTGTTTAGTCTGCTCCGACCGCCCTGATTGGAGCTTGGGTCAGGTATGGACACTGTAGGAAGCCATTGAACAAATTGCTACCCAGCGACCTGGCGCCCCGAAACTACAGTGTAGACCTGCAAATGGGACTCTGCACAGAAAAGCCAGAAAGCCGAAGTTCGAAAGCCAGAGGATGTTCGAAGTCTGCCATACAAAGTGGGGTCAAGTCCCCTGCCACCGTTGTGGACCCTCACAGCAGAGAAGGGTCGCACACCACTATTTCTTGCCTGCCTGAAGATGACAGAGAGCCAGTGCAAACAAGAGCTGCTTCGCAGGGACAGTCGATGCCCCAGACCATCTGTCAGGGCTCCCGGGTAGGACCAGAGGTGTGTGACTGACGCAGGGAAACGCAGACTTCAGATAAGTTATAAACAATTTATTAACACTAACAATACAAACATAAACGCAGTGCAATACTAAAACATAACACAGGGCAAATGAACCAAACCAAACCACCCACAGATAACAGTACATAAAGTGCAAGCGTCGTCAGGCAGGCCGGGTCAATATCGTGCGGGCAGCGTGGTACAGGGGGAGTAAGCGGAGAATAGTCAGGTCACGAGCAGGGTACAGCAACTAACAGGCAGGTAGGTACAGGGGGTCAGGCAGAGAATGGTCGGGGTCACAAGCCAGGGATCAGAACAGGAGAAGTCAGCAGAGGTCAGAATCAAGCCGGGTCAGCAACAAGACAGGAACAGGGACAGGGACAGGAACAGGAGCAGGATGCAGGAACAAGATACAGGGCCCAGGAAAAACACAACACCAAGGCAGAGTCTGCAGGTCTGAATGTCCCTTAAATACACCAGTATAATTAGTTCCAGGTGTTTGACTGGCTGCAAGGTTGAGTCTCTGATTGCTGGGAGCACCCGCTGGCCAGCCCTGGTACTGCAGCTCATAAGGCAGCTGAGTCCCACTATTGCTGGCCAGTCCATTCCTGACAGTACCCCCCCCAAGGAGCGGCCTCAGGGCGCTCCAAACAGTCCTAGCTGGGCAAAATGTTCCACCGCCCGGGTCTGGTAACTGGCGGGATATCAAAGACTGGCACACCGGGCAGGACTCCGGGCAGCGGCACACCGGGCAGAGGCACATCGGGCAGGACTCCGGGCAGAGGCACATCGGGTTGGACTCCGGGCAGAGGCACATCGGGCTGGACTCCGGGCAGAGGCACATCGGGCAGAGGCACACCGGGCAGAGGCACACCGGGCAGAGGCACATCGGGCTGGACTCCGGGCAGAGGCACATCGGGCAGGACTCCGGGCAGAGGCACATCGGGCAGCTCCGGGCAGAGGCACATCGGGCAGGACTCCGGGCAGAGGCACATCGGGCAGGACTCCGGGCAGAGGCACATCGGGCCGGACTCCGGGCAGAGGCACATCGGATTACCAGGCAAAGCAGCAGGCAGCGGGCCACCAGGCAGAGCAGCAGGCACCGGGCCCCCAGGCAGAGCAGCAGGCACCGGGCCCCCCCCAGGTGGAGCGACAGGTCTTGGGCCCTCAGGCGGAGCGGCGGGCGCCGGACCCCCAGGTGGAGCGACAGGTCTCGGGCCCTCAGGCGGAGCGGCGGGCGCCGGACCCCCAGGCGGAGCGACAGGTCTCGGGCCCTCAGGCGGAGCGGCGAGCGCCGGACCCCCAGGCGGAGCGACAGGTCTCGGGCCCTCAGGCGGAGCGGCGGGCGCCAGACCCCCAGGCGGAGCAACAGGTCTCGGGCCCTCAGCCGGAGCGGCGGGCGCCGGACCCCCAGGTGGAGCGACAGGTCTCGGGCCCTCAGGCGGAGCGACAGGTCTCAGGCCCCCAGGCGGGGCGGCGGGCGCCGGACCCCCAGGCGGGGCGGCGGGCGCCGGACCCCCAGGCAGAGCGGCGGGCGCCGGACCCCCCCCAGGCGGAGCGACAGGTCTCGGGCCCCCAGGCGAAGCGGCGGGCACCGAGTCACCAGGCACGACAGTGGGCTCCGAGTCAACTGGCATGACCGCTGGCACTGGGTCTGACATTGGATCGTCTGGCTGGACAGCGGGCATCGGGTCACCAGGCATCAGGTCATTTGGCTCGATAGCGGGCACCGCGTCATCTGGCAAGGCAGTGGGCTCCGAGTCAACTGGTATGACCGCGGGGGCACTGGGTCAGACATTGGATCGTCTGACTGGACAGCGGGCATCGGGTCACCAGGCATCAAGTCATTTGGCTCGACAGCGAGCACCGCGTCATCTGGCAAGGCAGTGGGCTCCGAGTCAACTGGCATGACCGCGGGCACTGGGGCAGACATTGAATCGTCTGGCTGGACAGCGGGCATCGGGTCACCAGGCATCAGGTCATTTGGCTCGACAGCGGGCACCGCGTCATCTGGCAAGGCAGTGGGCTCCGAGTCAACAGGCACGACAGTGGGCTCTGAGTCAATTGGCACGACAGCGGGCACCGGGTCATCAGGTACCGGATTGTCTGGCTCGACAGCGGGCATCGGGTCACCAGGTATGACAGCGGGCACTGGGTCACCAGGCATCAGGTCATTTGGCTCGCCAGCGGGCACCGCGTCATCTGGCAAGGCAGTGGGCACCGAGTCACCAGGTACGACAGCGGGCTCTGAGTCAATTGGCACGACAGCGGGCACCGGGTCATCAGGTACCGGATTGTCTGGCTCGACCGCGGGTATCGGGTCACCAGGTATGACAGCGGGCACCGGGTCATCAGGTACCGGATTGTCTGGCTCGACAGCGGGCATCGGGTCACCAGGTATGACAGCGGGCACTGGGTCACCAGGCATCAGGTCATGTGGCTTGCCAGCGGGCACCGCGTCATCTGGCAAGGCAGTGGGCACCGGGTCACCAGGCATTGGATCGTCTGGCTCGACAGCGGGCACTGGATCAGGTACCGGATCGTCTGGATCAACAGCGGGTATCGAGTCAACTGGCCTAATAGGATCATCAGGCTGGATCAGTTCACCAGGCTGAGTAGAGGCAGGCTGAGTAGAGGCACCAGTAGAGTAGAGGCACCAGGCTGAGTAGAGGCACCAGGCTGAGTAGAGGCATCCGGCTGAGTAGAGGCATCCGGCTGAGTAGAGGCACCAGGCTGAGTGGAGGCACCAGGCTGAGTGGAGGCACCAGGCTGAGTGGAGGCACCAGGCTGAGTGGAGGCATCAGGCTGAGTGGAGGCACCAGGCTGAATAGAGGCATCAGGCTGAATGGCGGGTGCCGAGGCACCAGGCTGAACCACGGAAGGCAGGTTCTCAGACGGCAGGCTCACCGGTTTGGATACTGGCAGGATGGTATTGGTTGGAAAGAATTTTCGCTTTTTTCTGGTTTTAACTACTGGAGCACTGCAAGTAAACGCAGGTCTGCAAACGAATGGAGCAGCTGGAGACAGAGAAGAACTGGAGGATGGAACAGGAAAGGGAGCAGTTGCTACAGAGGGCTTTTTTACAGGGTTAAAGGCAGGATAGGTGCAGCGAGTGGGAACAGGGTACTGACATGCGGTAGATAGCAGGGCAGGAGGAGCTGTTGGGAATGCAGGAATAGAGTTTTGAGGAAATAGATTAGATGCAGGACTGGGTTTTTGCAAGCTGACTGAGGCTGGGTGCAACAAATCTGTCCATGTCTGCAGTACGGGTTGAACAAAGCTCAGCTTACACAAAGCCTGTCTGGTCAATGACTGCACTGCGTTTATACAATCTCTTAGTACCTGTGGTGAACATGTGGAGTAACGCTCCAGAAAGTAACCCACATCATCCTCTAATAACCACACCAGGGACTCTACCTGGTCTGCACTAAATGGTGGCAAAAATTCATCCCTGCATTCGGGGGTACCAGATGAAACCAACTCAGCACAAACCTCAATCAAAGGCTGCACCCCAGAGAATTCTGTGCCCTGATCTACTAGAACATGAGCGAGCCGTATACATTCTAGCAGTTCATCCCGGGTATACTCCTTCAGAGTTTGATAAGCATACTCCCTGTCATCAAACACTAGCAGAGATAAATACGCAACCTCATCCAGATCCATCCTTCCCATCAACAAACCAAGATGGCTTCCCAGTGCAGCCACTTCTGGTCAGGATTGGCCTTGGTGTAATGTCAGGGCTCCCGGGTAAGACCAGAGGTGTGTGACTGACGCAGGGAAACGCAGACTTCAGATAAGTTATAAACAATTTATTAACACTAACAATACAAACATAAACGCAGTGCAATACTAAAACATAACACAGTGCAAATGAACCAAACCAAACCACCCACAGATAACAGTACATACAGTGCAAGCGTCGTCAGGCAGGCCGGGTCAATATCGTGCGGGCAGCGTGGTACAGGGGGAGTAAGCGGAGAATAGTCAGGTCACGAGCAGGGTACAGCAACTAACAGGCAGGTAGGTACAGGGGGTCAGGCAGAGAATGGTCGGGGTCACAAGCCAGGGATCAGAACAGGAGAAGTCAGCAGAGGTCAGAATCAAGCCGGGTCAGCAACAAGACAGGAACAGGGACAGGGACAGGAACAGGAGCAGGATGCAGGAACAAGATACAGGGCCCAGGAAAAACACAACACCAAGGCAGAGTCTGCAGGTCTGAATGTCCCTTAAATACACCAGTATAATTAGTTCCAGGTGTTTGACTGGCTGCAAGGTTGAGTCTCTGATTGCTGGGAGCACCCGCTGGCCAGCCCTGGTACTGCAGCTCATAAGGCAGCTGAGTCCCACTATTGCTGGCCAGTCCATTCCTGACACCATCAGGGCTTGCTTACCTGCCCTGATCTCTCTACTTGGAAGGAGCCTAGCTGCAGGGATGACCAGTCCTCAGGTAAGCCGATGGAGAGTGTTAGGGGAGGTAGATTGAGAGTCCCGTGGAGATTGAACAGGAGGGATGGTCCTTGGAGGAAACAGAGGAAGAATGGGACTTGGGGGGGACCACAGAAGAACTGGATTTACTGACGGGACCATCAGAACCCCCTTAAACACCAGACTCTGCTGGATGATCCTGTAGGTTGGAGCCTGTCAGGATTCCTTCCCAAGCCCCACCATCCAAATCCTTTGCCTCACCGTGGCCTAGGACCAGGCCCAGATATACTGGTCTGGGTCCATTTTTGCAAAGGAGACCACTTAGGTTTTTTAAAAAAATTTTTTAGGAGGGTCTGCTCCTTGACTAAAGACTCTAGAAAAAAGACCAGTGTTGTTCTGATTATTCATATGTTGCTGTGCCTTATACCCTAGACCATCAGTCAGGGCTAGCTAGGACTGCGCTGGTTGTGTTTTTTTTGCTTTGTTTCCTACTGTCCTGCCGGTCCCAGGATGACTGTCTTCCCTGCATTGAAGAACAATAGTATCCATGTTGCTGATGAAGGGCCTCCTTCTAGGGGAAGGTTCTTCAACCTTATACTAATGTTGGTGCATCTATACAGTTATTGTACTATGATCATTGTTCCTGTTGCTAGTTAGTATTTATTTGTATTAAGTGTTCATACTTTATTTCTCTTCTTAGTTATTGTACCCTTTTCCCCTTCCATGTTTTCTGTATGGGATTCCCTGCTCCTGGGCCCTAGAGCCATTTTGTTCTTTTTGCTCCCAGCCAATGAGGACATACCTGTTTTTTTTAGAAGGGGGGGGTGAATGTAGAACCCTCCTAGTTTAGCTAGGGGAAGCTAAATACTAATGATTAGACAGGATTGAGGAGTGGCTGGCTGCACTCTTGAGGGGTCCTAGCCAATCCCCAACAACAACAGTGGCAGGAGGGAGGAGTGTGGAGTGTGGAGAGCGTGGACAGTGTGGAGAGGAAGATGTGAAGCTGGAGGAGGAAGGCTGCCAGAAGGCCTAGTGGGATGGGGCCTGTCTGCGAGCCTGGAACTGGAAAGGTGGAAAACTTGGAGCTCATTGGCCCCCTGAGCTAGGACTACCTGTGTGGCAAGGAAGGAGCAGGATAGCTGATAGGCCTGGTAGCAGCAGCCAACCTGCAACCTGTACAGGAGAGGATCTGAGTGAGTACACCTGCACTCCCTGGTAGGGAAGGAGCACTCTGGTGGGAATCCAGATTAGCCCTCTACTAGTGAATGTTCACTCATTTAAAGGGACAGGAACCAGATTCCCTGCTCAGGACACCCTCCAGATTGCTGGCTGAAGAGGATAATTTCATCTATGGTGGTACATTGTGGGATCCTATAGATCCTATAAGCAAGCTGGCTGGACCTTTAAAGCAGAGTACTAGCCCCCCCCCCAAAAAAAAATTAAAAGTCAGCGGCTACAAATACTGTAGCTGCTTACTTTTAATATTAGGGCACTTACCTGTCCAGGCATCCAATGGTGTCCTCTCCCCGAGCCAATTCTTCAATCAGCTGTTGGGGTGCTGGTGCTGCTATCTTGACTAAGGGAAACTAGCAGTCAAGCCTTGTGGCTTCACAACCATTTTTTTACTGCTCTTGTGCAAAGCGCACTGCGCTTTGTGAATGGGCTTCAGTTCTCTGGGACCTGTTGAGTTTCCAAGAGGGCTGCGGGGGGGTGATCTAAGCCGGCATTGGGAGCTAGTACCTATCAGAACCAGGTACCCACTCCCCCCTCCTCCCTTCCCCTCCACAAAGTGCCAAATGTGGCAGCAGAGCTTCCACTTTAATCATGCTGCATTTACTCACCTACACAATCTCTAACATTGCTCAGCAGGGGTTAGAAATGCTGTACTTTCACCAGGTAAAGAGAACCTGTCATGAGCAAAATACATGCTCTAGCACTGCATCTCTTCTCCTGAAATGTTAATTGTCTAGCATTGCAGCCCTTTTGATAAGCTAGTTGTCCCGGTGATCTGATCCTAAACTTCAGTACTTTTTGATTTTCTGACTTGGAACAAATGTGCAGATGAGGACTCTCTTACTGCTTTTTGTTTCAGGTCAGCAATTCAAGAAGTGGTTATGCTTGAGAATTGACATGACATGCAGATAACATTTTTAGGCCAGCAGTGGCAACATTGGTACTTCTCTCACCTTTGTTCTCTCATCCTTATGTAGCATCCTCCAGGATAGATGGTAGGATAAGTAGAATATAGTTGGTTCCTCTGCTTAACAGTTAGGAAAATCTACTTAGGCATTCTGAATAACAGAGAGCTGCAGTTGTTTAGTAGTGGCTGCTGAGTGTGTTCAAGTGCTGTTAATTCTGCCTCTGGCTTCCTCAATACCCAAGTAACCTAGAAATGTTCTTGATGTACAGTATAGGTGGAATTCATACAGAACACAGTATGAATAGTAATGCCATGCCAGCCTATCTTAGGGAGTGCAGACCTGAAGGATGCTGGGAGAATTTCTTTTTTTGGGCATACTGAGTCCTGGCTTTCCTAGAGAGGATTGCACCAGCCTGGGAGAGGATAAGCTGTCCTCCCAAGCACCTGCTTCTATGCAGCCTCAGGTGGGCATCCTGAGGGTCTGAAGGAAGAGAGAGAGGACCCTTCACAAAGCTGGCTGAGGGGTGTCTATCAAGGATCTGATCTGGTATCATGGAGAAGATGTTACAGGCTGTTCTTTTGGGCCTTTTGAGTTCAGACACATGCTTAAGGATCGAATGTGTGTGTGCACTTGGCTGTGATGCTATCTTGTGCCTGGCTGCTAGACAAAAATAGGGAAGACCTGAGTAATATCCAAGTGGCTCCTATGGGTGTAGCGCTACACTTACATGAACCGTGCATTGGTTTCAGTAGAAAGATATGTCAGTGGCAGGCTGGTCTTGTACTACTAAGTGATTAATGTAAACTTTTCCAGTGCCAGTATTTGAAAATGCTAGTTGTCTGATTGTTCTGTTATCCCTCGTACATATTTTAGTTAGCAGATCAGGAAAGTCAGAGAAAAGTCAGCAGTGCTTATTTGCATACTTTGTGTAGTGGAAAAAAAAAAGTCAGTTGGATGGTGCTCAGGAAGTCATCAATTGGCATGTAGGGATGTAA